ACCGATCGCGCAGATATGGTTACGCTACTCAAAGATAATTGGTGAGACAAACTGAAACGTCAGTTACGTCAATTGTCAACCAACAATGTCACTTTCGTCTAATTATAGGTTGGAAAGTTGGAGCTAGATTATTAGTAATAATTCACATTATAATTATATCACTTATGAATCATGCGTGCATCATGGCTGACAGAAAAAATCAAAATCGAAACCGCATCACGATTTCTGGAAAAGATAAGAAGACAATATTCACCTACATAAAAGATATTCTATAATATCTAATTGGTGTTTTTTTTCTATTTATTCCAAGTTATAGTCTTGGAATTAAATAGAAATAATACACTTTATTAATAATTTTGCGAATCTGTAATTTACATAAATGAGCATAATGGGTTTTCTACAGTTTTCTATCAAGTAAAATACCTTGAGTTTCCAACCTACTCATGCATGGAAATATCGTTAAAAATTTTTGTTAAATGCGCGGGATTATTAAAGAATTACAATTAGGACTTTATTATTTTACCATAAAATACCATTTTACTGACTGGAAAAATATCGCCCCTCACATCCCTAAAATATAATAAATAAATTGATTCACAACAAAAGATATATATTATTAGCATATGCAGGCCCTCTTAATCTATCAGCAATACCTTTTCAACATTTAATATAAAAATATCATTTAGTTAGACTAAAAATGTAGACAGACTCTGTTCAATACAAAAGAAAAAAAACTGACATTTTTATAAAAAGTGTAGGGTATATCGGTTAGATTGCCTAGAATGAAATGCAGCATATACATATATAGTTCAAATGGGTAAATCGTTTGATATAAGATATAGAGAACACATTCACACAATATAAATATACTGATATAAAAAAAATACATCTTTCAAAAAATGGGATCATTCTGACCTACCATTGTTTAGATTTGGCCAGCTCTACTCTTTTAATAGACTCTGCCTCACATACAGCTCTTGTTTCGTCTATAATCCTTTCTCTGTCTTCAACTATGCTTTTTTGTATATCCTTAAGAATTGTGCAGACATTTTTTTCTTATCTCAGAAATTTCCACTGTATGACGGTGTTTTAATGACTCTATTTCCATTTGAAGGTTAGTTATAGTAGCTTCTGGATTGGCTGATTTGCCAAGGTCCTCCAAAGTCTCAATTAACATACCTCGAAAATAATCTCCCAACTTAAAAATAAAAGATTTAATATAACAAAATATAAATAAATAATTACACATAATATTTCAACGATTTAAATTAAGCATATATTTAATAAAAATTATTATAAACCATATCACATCTCTACAATATCCACATATTATCTAGATGCGAGAAACTGAGAAAAATTTTAGAACTTTTACCTAAGTAATAAACAATACTCGTCTCCACCAGAGCTGGGGAGTAATCGATTACGTACTAATCATATTACTACTTATTACTACTCACACCACTTTCTTTCAAAAAAGTAGTGTTGGCAGTCACTCAGTCACAGTCACCATGACCGATCAGTACTCAGTCATTTACCGGTCAGGTCACGATTAAGTTGACTGGTTAAATAGCAACATGTTCAAGGTGGTCACGAGCACAGTCAACTTGTCCCAGTTGTCCAAAATTTTAAATGTCCTGCCATTTCCCTTGAAATTTTAATCATGATACTTGACAATAGATGTATGTCAATCACCTGTTTTTGGCCAAAGAAATTGAAAGAAATTCTCAGTAATCAGAGAGAGACTACTGGTAGACTTTTTAATTTTCTTTTTGTTTAAAAAATGCCAAACGTTGGTGAAGAAACCTTCAGTAGGGATTTCTTTTGGAGAGAAAAAATATTGGTAAAAAACGTGCACAATGTCGGTTCTGTGGAATGAGGTATCAAAGCCATGCTACACGCTACCGGTGACGGCTAGTTAAATTTAGGTTACATCATATCTTAGTTTTGTAGCATAGGATCCAAGTGATACTTTAAGGCAGAACTATCAAGACTAACTGCCCAGGTAACACTAATGCTCTTATTAAGATCTCCAAGGTCGCTTTAAAATTATACAATAAAACTTCGAATAAAACCAAATGATCTTCAAGACAAGCTTAGGATCACCATAAAGCAGCTTCTAGCCAAAAAGGGCCCATCCTAAAAGGGTCTTGAAGACTAAATTTTAAAACCATATTAAAAACCATTTAGTTCTAATTTCATATTCTTAAAGAGTTCTTCAAGGCAACCTTAAACTTATGTATTAAAACGTTTTGCATTTAAAATAAAATTGCAGCAGACTAAATTGCCTTGAGAATCATTATAATTAATCCTAAAAGGGTTTTATTTTGTTTTAAAGTCGGACAACTTTATGCGTGAAATAGTTAAAACAACGGCAAGTCTCTAATGGGGCAGAGTGGTAATATTTTAAACGTAACGCATATAAAGCTGATCAAAAATAATATTCAAATGCAAACTATTCTGGTAAAAATTACCAACGGATGGCACTTTTCTGACAAAATATAATAAAATACTTCTACATAACTCGATATTTTTTTTTATTATCTAAAAATTTTTTTTAAAAATATCGTCAATTTTTATTTTGCATCTAAACATCCAAATGAATTTTTTTTATTAAATTGCATGTTTGGACACACCGTCCTTCAGTTATTTAAGAGGATGTAAAGCGCATATATTTCAATAATATTTTTTTCTTTGGCTATTGAAAATATTCATCATGGCGGGTATGTATCTTATATAAAAAATGGCGTGGTCTAGATAAAAACTGATTGCAAGTTAATAGAACATTTTAAATCTTACAAGACTTAAAATAACGTTTTATTTACCACTTTAAGTACAATTACTCTCCCTGACATTTATTTACTCTTCCTTTTAAAACTGAGTTGCTTTAATATGTTCAAACTCGTGGCCTTATTGATTTGAAGGGATCTGGCGCGCGTATGAAATCCTAACCTTAAAATTGTGCCGGTTTTGTGATTGCTGGATTTAATGACTTTGTTTTAATTTAAAATACTTGTCACTAATATTTTCCATTTTAAATATGTCTTCTAGTTTTCATTCATGCATGAAGTAGGTACACGGACTGCACTGGTTCACTAAATCAGCAATCAGTTTATTAAGCAGATGGCGTGTTTTCTCCGATTATGGAGGGGGTAGAATTAGTTTTAATAAAGTCATCAAAAATCCAACACGCATTTCTTTTAATCAAATTGACTAAATTAAAACCTTTGAACTTTAAAATATTCTTAATTTACTCTTTAAAAAGTAAAAACTATGTTTTAGGATTTAATGTGGAATTTCATTGAGCATATAGGCTTAAGATAAAATAGTTTTCTTAATGAGTTTTAATGACTACATCAAGGATACTCCATAAAACTACATTAAAACCATTTGTTCCAAAATGGATTGTTTTAAAACCAACTTGCTATTTAATTCTTTAAAAAGGCAAATTAGTTTTAAAATAGCCAATGTCAAGAGTATTATAAACGTAGTATAAGATCAATAGGGCATTAGGAGCAAACAGTTTTTTTATTTTAATTTAAAGAGTGCATTAAATCCTTTGCATAAGAATCAGTGGTCTTTAAGAACTTTTAGTTTATCTTAAGGTAATTTTAAAACCACTATCATTTTATTGAACATGTTAAAGCACTTTTAAAACTTAAATAAATCAAAAATATCTTAGAGTTGTTACTTGGGTGAAGTAATTTTGCAAAAAAAATTGCGACTGAAATTTGCGAAAAAAGGAAATTTTTTAACCAATTTGTAAAACATTTTTTCCAGAATCAGGTGGAAAATGGATCGACAGATTTATAATTTCACCAAAAAATATTGCTTTTTACTAAGTTATACCATTCTGAAATTTTATTTTAGAATCATTTTTCACTGTGCAAATTTGAAAAAGGTGTAACTTTATAAAAAATCAATACCATTTTATGAATTTCAAAATCTGTCGATACATTTTCCTCCTAATTGTTTAAAAAATAACCTGGTAAGGCACGCAATGATTTAAACTTTTTTTTTGCAAATTCCAATACCATTTTTTTTTTCAAAATTTCATTTAGTTTTGACAGTTATGCTTTAAAGTATCGTTTACGTCCCATGCACTAATACTACGATATGACAACCTAAATTTTACCAGTCACCAGTGTATGCTACTCGTCTGACAAAATACATAGTAAAAAATTGCCAAAAATGCCCCAAATTTGAAACAATTATTCATTCTCAAAGAGAACGGAACTCCCAAAAGAGTTACATCGGATAAATTTGTAACAAAACCAATGTGCAACGAGAACATCTGTAATGAAGAGATATTTAGATTGACTCAGTTTAGAGTATGGAGTGTGAAAAAATAAAATGCCAAAAAAAATCCCACTTGTATAATTTCTTTCAACATAAGCCCCATTTATAGAAGTATTAGTAATCATTACATTTTATATTGGGCAATCAGTAATAATTACCAATTCTGTGCAATCAAATCACAATATTGAGACTAGTTATTAATTCTTGATTACTGTGTAATCAAGATTAGAGAGTAATCGCGGTTATTGAGTAATTGATAAATAATTTGGATTACCGAATCTGTGAGAAGTCAATTCACAAATATAAATAAGGTTAAAAATGTTTTAGGGAATCCAAAAAATACTCATACCAACACGCTCTTACCACGCCATACGAACTGTGCAACACCTCTATTAAATTTGCATGGTACTACCGATCTAAATAATACGTTGAAATTCAATGTAAATTTAGGAACTTGTCACACAAATGTAATACTTTACGGAAATTTGCGGCCGTGCCAAGAGCTCCGAAATCATCATAAGAAGTGTTGGGGCACACATTCAAGCTATCCCTGCATAACAAGGTGGAACTAATTTCATAATGCTCTGTCACAGATTATACGTATTAAAATAGAGGAAATGAAGGAAATGTAGAACTAAATATCAGCGAAACATTGTCAGAAACAAACATGGTCTATTTACAAGAGTATTGCTTTGTGTGTGTATGGCTTCTTGGTCGTGTGGTAAGGACACTTGCCTCTCACCCTGGAATCCCAGGTTCGATCCCTGGTCGAGGGGAGAGGATTTTTTTAAACCAGAAATTAATTCTAGCATACTCGGACATTGGGTGTGTGTCCATTGTCTCTAAATGTGTAGCTTTCTCCCACACAGGTTACACATTGAGGTACCTTCATGGATACAGGGGTTGTATTACCTGTGATGTTTAATTCTTTTAATTTTTTTAATTGCTCCATATTAAAGCCAATAATTGCATCAACAGATTTCCTTCTGGGAGAAATGAATATCTATTATGGTATTTATTGCTGAGCCCATTTTCACTTAAAGTTATTACATGTATCGAAAACGATTCAAACCTAAAATACACAGCACCTATTCTGAAACATATTCTGAAAAGGTTTTCAGGGAGATATGATAGATATTTACATTCCCCGCTTTCTTCTGAATCCAATGAAAATGTTATAGCTGCTGTAACATGCTCAAATACTAAATGAAATGGACTAGCTCAATCAAAGATTTTTCCATTGACACCGCTCATATAAGAAAAATTGTTGCAAATGTTGGAATAATGTTAATATCAAATGAAGTTAATGACTCAAAACCCTATGAAAAGGAAATGAAACTATACTTCATCTCATTTCATATAAGCACATCAAAAATTGTTTACCTGGGCTCGCAGAGCGACCCTTTGTCAATTTTCAGTCATGCATTGGCACGGAGTGCATTATAAATACACAAAATGCATTTATATAATATCGCGTGCCAATGATACAATTTTTCATGCCTATATGAAATGACTGGGATACAGCAAGTTTTTTGATTTTGGGGATGTAGATGAGGCAGGAAAATCTAGCAGTGGTATTTTTAATAACCTCAGTTTGAAGACTGTAATGGTGTCTTCAAACTGAAGTTATTAAAAATAAGGTTGAACTGGAGCTATTCAATTATTGGCAGGATCATCATAATACATTTTCAATAGGACTTTTCGGGTGCAGAGAAGTATCAACCAGTGGTTATAACCTCTCGATTATCATTGGTTGACATTGATTTTGAATACAACCAATGATAATCCAGAGGTTGAAGAAGTTGATTTTTATCTCTAAGAAATCTTGATTTGTGTGTTAAATAACTATTAAGCGATTATCATTAATCTAATAAATATAAATTAGTAGTGCTAAACTAAAAATAAACAAAAACTTATCAGTATACCTTAAAAACTCGTGAAACAAAACAAACTACAAAAACTAACGCGTGTAATTTTATATGCTTAAACAGGTAAGGATCTAAAAATTCTGAGGAACCTTTTACAACATGAATTACTGTACAAATAGTACATGTGGAATTCCTGAAAGTGATAAAGAACCTTTCACTGTTTGTGATAAATGCAATAAACAATTATGCTATCAATGCTCCAAGTTATCTACAACTGAATACAGAGCAGTGACTTTGAAGAAAAGAAGTATCATCTACTTGTGTATGAATTGTACCTGAGGACCTGAATTCAATCCTCCTCTGATAATGAAAATTCCGAAATAGTGTCAAAACTTGATAACATCTCAGACTATAAGAACAACTTAGAGGACTCAAATATAGAATTAAATTATTTACTGAGGGGCACTCGGAACTCCCTGTTAAATCAACAACTGATAATTATGCACCTCTAGGTTTTCAGTGCTCTGTATATCAGGAATTTCAGATTGAATACCTGCAGAGAGAAATTACAACCCTAAAGACTCTTCCAACTCCCACTACTGTCGTAAACCTACCGCAACAAAAAAACTCTATCTCAAAAGCACATATTGCAACTACCTCTACAGAATTATAAGCTTCTCCCTTTCGTAAAGAAAAAACCAGAAAACTCTCGGGCAGGCAGACCAACTGCTCAAAAATCCCAAAATCTGTAGAAGCCAAATGAGTTCCCGTCAAAAAAAAAAGTGAAAAACCATGTGCCTATTATCGGTACCAGAAAAATAGATAATACGAAAATTTCCGCAGCTAAAATTATACCAAAAGAGTCTATTTTTGTCGGCAAGCTATCAACTGATGTTACCGAGACTGATCTCTTACATTACCTAAAAGAAACTTTTGGCAGAGACGAAAACTTTAAAATAGAACAACAGAGAATTAGATCTGGGGACTACAATAGCTTCCGCATTACTGTCCGAGCTGATCTTCTTAATGAGATGCTGGATGCTTCAATGTGGCTTGAGGAAATCCTGGTAAAGGAATTTGAATATAAACCTAAGTTTTTTCATACCAGCCCATGTTTCACAAGAAAACCTAATTATTACAACCAAAGATACTAATGTGACACTAGTACACACCTGGAATGCTATGCATGTGAATGCCCAGTGTCTTCACAATAACACTGCACAACTAGAAATAACTTTAAAAAAATACAAATTGGATTATTTATTTGTCACTGAACACTGGATGTCCTCAGAACAGGCAGAAGATACTGCTATTCCAGGATATTACCTCTTGACAACATTTTGCAAGTCAGCATACCCATGGAAGTGCTGCCATATACTTAAAAAAAATGGAAAAGTGTTGAACCTGTCAAAATATACTTCTGAACTGTCATGTGAATGTGCTGATTATAGTACTAAGCTATTTGGAAAGAAGGTAGCATTATTAGTTATTTACCGATCATGTACGCATAATGTAAATAATTAATTTGAAACTTTCATTAACTCACTTAATGCTATTTTATGCCAGGTAACCCAGAAGCATAAATTTATTCTACTTTGTGGTGACTTGAATGTCATTAATCTGGAAAATTCTATAGAAAAAAAAAACTACTAAATGATATTTTTGACAGTTTCAATTTGAAATATATTTTACCTTCTGAACCTACTAGAAAAGTCTTTAATAATAAGCCCTCAGCACTCGACTATGTCGTTACTAATGCCACGTGTTTTGAAGCTTGTAACTTAGACATAAGAGTTTCTGATCACAAAGCCCAACATATTAGTGCTTTTATGCCCTATGAACAAACAACAGAAAATCTAAAACCTTTATTAAAAAGAGATACTTTTCGGAAGAAAATCTGTGTAATTTAAAAAATATTCTCTCTAGAACAGATCTTAGGCTCTTTGCACAATTTGCACACGATACCTGGCTTTACTTCTGGTCTAATTTTAAATACTGCTTAGATTTAACTTGTCCTATTAAAAAAGTTAATGTCCCATGTGTACCTTGTCACAGCTGGATCGAGTCTAATTTAGTCGAAAAAAATTATTTTGTGTTAATGACAACAAAAAGCCTAATTTTATTTTGGCTGTGTAAGCTGTAAGCCAATGAGTAAATATCACAGGAGAGAAACTATTAGTAGTGGGGACCTGACAATTCGAATGATAGAAGTTTGCAATCCGCCATTTTGATAAACCACTTTGTGCTGGTCAGTTTTATATGTCAGTGTCAATACAACACACTTTTGTGCTATATTTGTAGAGGTTGGTATTTATGCTTAATTTTTTACAAGGGTGTTATTTATTCGTGTGCGTGCGTATATTGTACAGAATTAGTCACTTTTGATATAAACATTATAAACGACCTGATTGGCCAGTATTCATGGTTAGTTCCATAGCGTGTGGTTTATTGCACACTGCAAAAAAAGTGCCATTACTTTTCACAGGTAAGTAAATAAACATTATAATAAAACGACCTGTCTGAAATATTTCCAGAATGCTAAAAACGTTTGAACAATTATTGTATTGGGGGTTGTACAGCCGCCGTGATTGTTTATATTTATTGTTTCGATATACAATATCCATCTGGATTTGTGGTCTTGCTTAAAAACAAATCAAATAAAATTATGATTATGTACAATAAACATAATAAAATAATGTAATTTAGCTGCTGGTTATCTGATGTATTTCTATTATGGTGGTAAAATCAAATAGACAAAATGTAAACTGTTGCTTTTGTGATAACGATAACTGCTAATTACATATTTTCCCAAAGGTTCCCAAAGAAATTTCAGCAGAGTGAATCGTGGACTAAATTCGTTGTTAAAACGAATGAAGAAATGCAAAAATTTGCAGTGTTGTGTTCACAACATTTTCAAGAGACGGACTTCGAGAGAACTGCTTTCAAAGTACTTTTAAAGGAAAATGTAATACCCTCAAGAATAGTACAGAGGTACAAATATGTAAGTTTACTATAAGAATGGTGATACATTAATAAAACATGTAGGTATATTAAGCGTGAAAAAATGTGACAGCATTAATATACCACAAAAATACTTGTTTTATGAAATCGGAAGGAGTATGCAAAAAATTTGCTAATAAAATAATAGGAATTTTGTGTCTCTACCTTAGAATTGAAATTTGCGACTCGATTTTATAATCTAAAAAAAAAATGTAGGTAATGTATTTAAATAAATATGAATCATTTTCAGACAAATCTGAGACAATCTGGAATTGAAACAATCCTGTCTACGTCAGGCCATCATCCATTGGATGCAGAATCTGGCGGTACTATTTTACAACCTGAGTAGATTATCCATCTACTTCAACTGCTGAAATTATGGATGTCCATATTCCATCTCTAGAAACACCTAAGATGAATACTATCATTCTTGTATATATCGAAGAGGATTCTCTTAGAAAAGTGAAATTGAAATGTCAGATTCGAACTAACTAGTGCAGTAAAATAATATGATATGTTCTTTGTAATCTCTCCTATTGATTTTTTAGTATTTTACTTACATTATATTTATTTTCTTAATTTTCTAAATTTGTTTGTACAATGTCAATTATTTACCTACATTACAATTTGAAAAAAAACCCTACTCATTTTTAGTATAATTTACATAATAATTGGCACGTAGAATTGAAGGGACTCTACCAAACATTTATGAACAATATATGAAACGGCTGATATTTGTGCATGGTATTGTATTTTATTTTTTTTCATCAAAAAAAGGTTGAGCGTACAATTTAGTAAGGAACAAAAATACTTTAAACGAGATCGGGTATTCTTATGAAGCATTTTTCTTTTTAATATATCATCAGTCAAAACAACCCCCTTAATTTTCATAAAAAAACTGCTACCTGAGAAATAT